TCTTCTAAGCGTTTTGCTTAAGATATACGGATGCAATTTTGCATAATATTTTGTCAAATATAACTGAACATAAACCTTACTACCTCTCTGTCTCTCTCTTTTTATCGTTAATTCTCGAAAACTAATTACGAAAATATTACTCAAAATTATTATAAAATTGTATACCAATACATTTAAAATATATCTTCTTTAAGATTATTAAACATTTCAAAAGACTTTTAGACATTTTTCAAAATAGTCGTAAATTTTTTGACGTCAGCCACTGTAGTAGATGATTCTAGTAAAGTGCAAAAAAGTTATAGTTTTCCAATGAGTGAAAATATCCTGATTCACGAGCATATGAAGTAAATCAAATTTTTACGAGATAGAAAACTCACTTTTCCAGGGCCGGATTAAGAGTTTTGAGGCCCTGGGGCCGACATTTGGTGGGGGCCCTCAATATTTCCAAAATTTTTGATACTAATAAAATCGGCCATAGCTATAAATAAAAAACTCTTTTTTTTTTAAACGAAACACCCTGTATCTCGATAATGAAGCATTTTCGGACACGTGTTTATAGGAACTTTTTTTCATATTTTGATAAGAGGAATTTCCCCTGAGCTTTTGTCACCACAAGTCTGAATCACCCTGTATATTTTGATTAATACGAACATAACCTTATATACATTTTACCCAAGTCTGAGAAATTATAAACTCGTATGCAAAACTATAAAAACGTAGATAGAATAGAATTGTGAATGAAAGTGTTTTTATATACTTTATATTTTATATATCTTGAATAATACGAATATAACCTTATATATATTTTACTCAAGTAAAATATAAATTGATCTATGTTTTGCTTGTATTTTTAATACTTACCGCAAACTGAAAAAAAGTACATTAAAAGTCGTATTATTTGTCTGTTTTTCATACAAAATCAAACAATAAAACAATCTTTTGTCCAAAGAAAAGCACGAAACAGTATTTCACAACACTCCAATGTACCAATACAAATCTGGGACAAAAACTATAGTTTTTGTCCCAGATTTGTATTGATATTTTCTTAAAACCTAATATATCTTATAATATATATATCTTATAATCTAATATTAACGTTATAACGTTAATATTAGATTATTATTATATATATATATTGACTGTTTGCCTGTACAGCTGTATTTAAAAAAACGTTACGAAAACCACTAAAGGAGAAACTGCTTAAAATTGTTATGAGCCATAACTTATGACTATTACTATATAAAAATGTCTTCGCGAGCCAAAACTTTGAGTGTGATAATTTACATTCTGATTTGCAAGCGGATATGCGATAAAAAATCCGCGAAAAATTAGAGTTAGATCTACGAAAAATTAATTGAAAATAACAGGATTCGAGCAGTATAACCGACCCAATTTTTTGTTTTTTCCCAATTTTTTTTCATATTTGTTTTATTAAAAAGCTACATATTGCATTGGTGGGGGCCCCTAAATGGATGGGGCCCTGGGGCCGTGGCCCCGCTTGCCCCATGCTAAATCCGGCCCTGGTGAGAAAAGTGACTTTTTTCACCATTTAATATGCTGATATTGGCTGAACAAAATAGATAATGTTAAAAATTTAATACGCCAATATTGGAAAACGTGGTTTACTATTGAGGTTTTTTTCGTATTTTAAATGGAATACAGCATACTTTATTAAGAAAAAGTCGTAGATAAAAGTACTACTTTTATGGTTAGCAATACTTTTATAATTAGCAACGCTTTTATCTAGCAAATATTAAAAATCCTAAGAAAAGTACTAGTTTTAAGCTGACAGAATCTGTCAGATGGATCTGATGTATGCGACAATAATGATCTATGATGATTTTTATGTTAATTATGTAAGCTTTTTCGTAAGGAATACTAAAAACAGCGTTTTCAATGCGTGAGAAAAGTTAGTTTTCTATCTCGTGGAAATTTGATTCGCACCAGATATTTCCACTCAAAAGAAAACTATTACTTTCTTTTACTTATAGAACAATCTACTATTTATTATTATTTAAATTTGATAATAGCCGGACGTCACATTATTTTTGAGTAAAAATTTACTTGATAAATTTAACGATGAATTTGGAAAATCTCTAACGCGTTTGTAAGCTGATTAAATTAATATTCCCTAAACTGAAGGAAATTTATCGCTAAACCAGCAGTAATTGACTCGACTTACAAATTTGTTTGCCAGCATTATGTGACCGTAAACTAAAAATGTATTTACATTTTTTAAGCAGCATTATTTAAACCTACATTTTTAACAATCATGATATTGATATTACTGGTATTATGAACATAACCTAAAATATTATTTAACTTTGACATTAATTAATTAACAAATTTTTTATACTAGCTAAGGGCTTTATAAAATATCTAACATAAACTTTTATAGAGAATTTTGCCTACAATTTTGTAGGAGAATTAATAGACATACCCTTGCTCGGTACATTATTTTTTTCTTGGGATATAATACTAAAAAATAGTAAATTGTCCAACAAGTGAAGAAAATAGTCTATTATAAACGAGCATTTAAATGCAAGGTTATATTCGCCTATTGCACATACTATTTGGTCCGACAATCAAATAAAAATGAATACTTTTGAAATTGTCTTTAAAATTTAATTCCAAAGAGACATTGTGCACCCGACTCACTAAAACCATGATTTAATAGTTAATTAAATAAAGGTTAAGTTTTGTGAAGTTTTATATATTTTTTTGGGATTAACTTAAATTTTAATTCCAAATATGTAAACAATGTTTAAAATCATATTAATGGAAGTAGGTATAAACAATGTGTAAAAAATAGCTACAATTTATTGTTTTAAACAAACTATAATATAGTAATATATTAATTGTAAACAATATTAAAAATTATTGTCTTCCTCTTTTCTATTGTTTCACTAGTGGTACAAAATTTTCATTGTTTAACTAGTGTAACAATAGCTTACTTTGTCCATTGTTTTCGAGCTTAAAATTAGCTTAAAATAGCTTACTTTGTCCATTGTTTTCGAGCTTAAAATTTTTCAATTTTAAGTGAGTGTGGGACAAAAATATTTTTTACAAAAAAATCACGCCCAAAAATAATAGTTAATTAGTAATATTTTTACCTCCCTACAGTGTTACTGAATTCAATAAATTTTGAATAATTATTTGGTTTCTACTTTTGTAATACCTACATGTATAACAAAGAGTATGAATAGGAAAATAAGTGCTTCGTTTTGGATACATTTTTGTCCCTGCCGGTACAAAAGTTCTTTCTATACAGGGTGAATCGGAAGGATCGCACTAAACTCTAGGACTGCATTCTACACATTAAAATAATAAAAAAAAAACTCAACTGTTCTTATCCGATTCTTATTTGTTTTAAAGTTATAGCGAAATTTAAAAAACATGAAATTTTAAAAAATAAATTATTATCTAATGTTCTTTGAAAACCTATGGAAACAAAGTTTTTGTTTCCATAGTTACATATACATATTGTTTACATTTAAAAGGCCAACTGTCAGCGTCAGTGGTATTTTTGTAATTTTCCAGTATAAATTTTTTTTAAATGTTAAAAGTTTATTCAAATTTAGAGTATGCTCATATGATTTTTGTTTATGGCTTTTGTAATGGCAATGCCACAGCTGCTGTAGACGGCGACGTTTTCCACGTGAAAGGGCTCCTAACAAAAACGTGTTTATTCCAGTTTTTAACAAACTTTGCGAGACTGGAACTCTTCCAAGTGCTAAAATATCATCTGAAAAAGCTGATCGACAAACTTTAGAAGAAGTGGAAATTATTTTGGATCTAGTGGAAGAAGATGCAACGACCAGCACCAGAAGAATCGCTACTCAATTGGACATTTCACAAAAACGGGTAATACACATACTTCACGACCAAGGCTTATACCTATACCATTTACAAAGAGTACAGTATCTACACCCGGAAGATTATGCTAAACGTGTGGAATTTTGTCGGTGCGTAACTAACAATCGTAGAATTGTATCGCGTATACTTTTTACTGATGAAGCAACATTTACCCGTGAAGGCATTAATAATACGCACAACTCTCACGTATGGTCTGACGAAAATCCCCATGCTATAGTCGAAACCAATTTTCAGCACAGGTTTTCAGTAAATGTGTGGTGTGCTATGATTGCTGGGTATTTAATTTGCCCTTTTATCATGGAGGATCGCCTCACAGGGGAACCCTACCTTAATTTTTTAATAAATGAGTTGCCAGGACTACTAGAGAATGTCCCTGTAAACGTAAGAAGGCGAATGTACTATCAGCATGATGGAGCCCCTGCACATTTCGCTCGTGAGGTCAAACAACACTTGGATGAAATGTTTCCAGGGCGTTGGATTGGTCGCGGAGGTCCAATTAGTTGGCCTCCAAGAAGTCCAGATCTAACACCCCTAGATTTTTGTTTATGGGGTTGGTTTAAAACAGAAGTTTACAAAGTTAAAGTGAATAATCGAGAGGCACTAATTCAACGAATAATTAATACTGGCGTAGTTCTTAAAGAAAATCAAGAGTTAATAGGACAAGCAACAGGCGCTGTTCGCAGACGTAGCAGAGCATGTTTAGAAATTAATGGGGGTATTTTTGAACACCTTATAAAAAGTTATAACTATTAAACAAATGTTACCGATTCATTTTATTTATTTTTTAATTACGCTATAACTTCAAAACAAATGAGAATCGAATAAGAACATTTGAGTTTTTTTAATTATTTTAATGTGTAGAATGGAGCCCTAGAGTTCCGTGCGATCCTTCCGATTCACCCTGTAGATCAGATACATACATCAGATTTGCTCGTGCTAGTCCATTACAAGACTCGCTCCTTTGTTGCCCGTTTTGTAAATTCTTCTCCTGCAAAAGAAATGACGTATTATGATATAAGTTCTTTAATAAACCATTATGGCATTAAAAACTGCACTTTTTTAACAATTGGACAAAGTGCAGGTTTTATTAAAATATGAATATTTTAGAACAATAAATTTTTCAGGCTACGGCCACCGAAAAGACAGGTCATGTCACCCGAGGGGCAGTTTCTGCAGCCTCGAGGACCTCTACTCACCGAAAGAAAGCCTCAGACCCGCCAATGGAGTGCACATCAATCACGGTTTCAACGGCGATCAGTCCGAACACGCGCGAGGCTTTAGCAACGGCATCGTCTCGACGCCCCAAACGCCCGCCTTGTCTACGAATACGACGCTCCATTCGTATAAGTCTACGACGCCGGAGGAGAAAAACCGGGTTTTCTGGTAAGTCGGTTAGAATAACATTTACTTTTTTTACAGGGAGACAAAGTTTTTAAAATTTTAAATTTTTAAAACATTGTTTTTATGTATGTGGTTTGTTTTCAAAAAACACCCGCCTTCCGCTGCAGCGCGCTGTCCGTAAGTTTGAATTCCAATAACTTTGTTAAAAATTATCGGATCTTATTGATTTAAAAACTAAGTGTAACCCTAAAAAGCCCTTATTAAACGCTTTCAAAATGTTTGTTTAGTTATTTTAGAATAATTTTTTTTTTAATTTTGAAACTTGTGGAACACACATTTTCGCATGTCCCATTAGCGTTTTATAAAACTTACATACATGTTTTTTTATATTGAATAACCAGAACTTTGTGTTGCTTTATAGCAATCCATAACATCCTTAGTTAATACAGTAAACAATTTATATATAAATTAATTAATTTTAATATACTTTTTTTAAATTTGACTCATGTCCCAGACCTTTTTTCCGCTGCGTTACGTCCGTTGCGTTACCGATAGAATATTAAAAAACACATATATATGGCAAGTTTTTTGGCACTCACATGATCAACAAATGATGTTCGAATGTACGCATTACCCAGCTTAGTTTATTTATTCAATCAGGAAGAAGATATCGGTTGAAACAGGTGCGGGTAACGCGAATGTTATAATTTTTTGTCCGCTAAGTTACTCAAAAAAAAATAACGTAAGAAAAAATATTATTTTTCCTGTTTATGTTTGTTTTAGGGCACTAAAGCTAATTGAGAGTAATTAATGACTGTAATGTTTTATTATTATTTTTTAAATATGGTTTCACAAAACTTTTTCCACTGCGTTACCGAGTCCATTATGTTACCTTTTGGTAACGCAATGGAATTTAGGTTAACGCAATAGAATTTTTCGACAACAAAGTGGATATTTACCGTTGCTTTTATTAAAAGTAGTTTATGATAAACCAATTTAAAATTATTTGTGATTAAACTCATGATATAGGGAAAATTCCACGCAATATACAAGTACTAAAAAGGGACGCAAGACCAGCTTATAGTCAAAGAAAGAGGGTGTCTACAATTTAGAAATCTAAGTTGTTATTGTGCAAGTGAGCACCACTACAAGGGATTTTGTTCATGCATTACTCTAAAATCGTACCACCCTATATAGTTTCTTTTTTACGTTATCTAATTAAGTCCTTTGTGTAACCCAGTCCGTTGTGATACCAACGTCTATTTCGTTAATTTTTTAGTTTTTGTTAAAAAAAATACTTAAAATGATTTTTATACACTATCACCCAAATGACCCATGTATGCGTAAAATGTATGGAAACTAATAGGTCAATTCTGCGCACATCTGTAAGCATCTATAAGCAAATCTGTAACTTTCTATAAGCTTATAGACAATTTGCAATTCTGCGCTTCCTTTAGCTTACAGAAAATCTTATAGAATCGTAAATATTTACGATCGGGTGTTTCCCAATCGTTGCTAGTTACAGTTTATTTTTGTTAGGTTATGTCAAGCTATTTTAAAGATTAAAAACATGAATAATGGTAATATTTATCAATTGGGACAAGCAGCCTGGGCCAACTACATTAGAAATAATTTTAATTTGGACTAAATAAAACAATTGTATTAATACAAAACCTTTTTATTAATATTATACCTATAGGTATGTATACATAGGTATGAAAATAAAATAAAATAATATTCTTAAAAATAATAAACCACAGCCTACTCGGTCAAAAAAGAAATAAACAACAAAATAAATAAATATTCTAATTAGTCAAAAACTAATAGGTCAAATATCAAAATTTGGATTTAAAAATTTAATTTATTTTTATTTCAAATCCTAATTGTTTTTCTTTCAGCTTTATATAATTTTCTAAATAGTTTTTAATAACCTCAAAATGTTTTCCTCAACCAGTTTAAATTTCTTACTTTTTGTATTATATTATATTATATTAAATGCTGGTACATAAATGATAAACCGATAAACTATAATATAGGTTATGTTTGATCCTAAATAAATAGGCGTGAAGTTGCAGTAGTTCGTTTATACTACTTTAAATTAGACATTTACAGATAACATGGCAGACTTGCCACTTTTACGATTCTATAAGCATTATAGTTACAGATCATCGTAAGCTATAGATTTACGAATTTACAGAAATTTTACGAGAGAACCCAGAATTGACCTATAATTAGGTCCAGCGGTTTGGGTGTTGATGAATCAGTAAATAATAGGAGAAAAACAAAGAAACAGTAAGGAAATAATTACGAGCACATATTTTATTTTTAATTTGGAATTTAAAATATGGGTCGTCCATAAAGTACGTCACACGTTAAAGGTCGAGAGATATCGTTTTTACTGAAGATTGACATATAAAAAATACCATTTTATATCATTGTTTGCATATGATTGCTTTATTGGAACAAATTCTATTTCTATTGTTTTATTTAAAAATATGTTTCCTTTAAAAAGGCTTTGGTCACTAACCCACATAAATCCATTGAATGTCAAATATGGTATAAATCAAATTTCACCGAATTTATGATGTTAGTATGACAATGAACGATCGACATAATTGTAATAATAGCTTCCTCTCAGATAATTATTGCGATGGCCATTCTAACGCGAAATGAAAGCTAATAGGTCCTTTGTTGTCGAATAAATATACCTACGTGACGTATTCGATTTTTGTTTTTGTTTATATTGTTGGTCTAATAAATTAATTTAATATTCCTATATATAAAAATATATAGGCATTTTAATATAATTAAAAAGGATTTGTGCACTGTTTAAAATATATGTGGTGTAAAAAGAAATCCTAAAATGGTGTCAAAATCCAACACCAAGTGGTGTTAATATAAACAGCATAAATTATGGTTGAAAATGTTATATACAGCAAACACCAAAACGGTGTTAATATAAAAATATTTGAGAAGTGCACCTATACAGAAAAAAAGGAAACAAAGATTAGTTTGACGGAACTAAACCAGATACCAACCCGCTGTATGGTTCAGTTTACTAAATATGTTGTTTTTTAAAATAAGAGTTATTTCAACCTAAAACGATTAAAACAATTTTCCGTGCATTCCTGGTTGCATAGTGTGTACCGATCGCGGCAAAGGCGGTGTGGATCACGTGATGTTCTTAAATCTCGCCTCTGTTGACTTACATTAAGAGTATTTAAGCTCAGGTAGTCCTTTGCTTTGGTGTGATACTACAAGTTGTTCAATACTAAAGAGACTTTAATTAGGTGGAAGTATTTGAAGTTGGAACGCACTAAAAACATTATCTCTAGCGAGTTAAAGGTTCAATTTTCTGGAATAATACCACTGGTAATATACTAGTAATGCGTCAAGGAACTTCCTGTTTCCTTTTTTTTCTGTGTAGTATGATTTAATTTGACCAAAAATACATAATATTTAACACTGGAAAGGATTTCAATTTACACCAGGTAAAATTTATTTTAATACTGTGTAAAAGTAAATTTTACACTATTTTAGTATTTGAATTTACACCGGACCAACGAACCATATTTAACACAATTTTGGTTTGTATCAATATAGACCATGTATGGTGTTAATTTGGTGTTAAAATGGTCATGAAATTTTGAACAGTGTATGACTTAAAATTTACAAAAATCAGTTTAAAAAAATTATGTCAGGATCGTAGCCAGAGTCAAATCCAGAATGGGTCCTTGTTGTATTGATTATTATTTTATAAATGTATTATTTTAAAGGTCGACGTGTGACAAATAAAATTTTGCCTTGAAAATAATTTTTTTTATACAATTCGGTCTTGTGGTGCTTTGCTCAGTTGTAGGCGTTAGACGATACATAAAACGTACAATTCTTAAAAGGAGAAAGTAAGGTTTGATAGATTTGACAAATTTCCAAATATGTTGCATAATGAAATAGCGGCCAATTACTGATGCCTTACCCAGGCGAGAATATATAAACTAATTACTAGCCTCATAATAGTATATTATGCAACGACCATTTAATGATTGCTATTAGGAGCCTAATGAGTGCGAGTTTCTAAATAGCCCATTAAATGGGTGTTGCATATACTATTTTTTCTACGACTATCATAATAAAATAAACGCTTTAATTCTGAAATGTTTCGTACCTTTTGCAGATTTTACTGGTAATAAGTTGTTTGCAGCTTTTGAGGCCTGGTGGGGTTAAATTTTTAATTTTACATTCACTATCGCACTAATTTAAACTTTAATTTTTTTATGTTAAACTTACAAGTTAAAATTGATAAATATTAGATCTGTGTATAGTGTATCGCATTTTTATTGCTTGAAAATCTGTATCATAATGCAAAATTTGTATCATAATGGATCTCAATATCGTGCATGTCTAATATAGGAATTTAAGTATGGGAATATACTTTTATTACTTCCTAAGAAGTCCCAGAAGCCAACTGAATGGCTTGAGCGGGTTTGGGGTAAGAACGGATCGAGGAATTAAAGTCCCCTCCGAAGGACTAATACACAATAGGACAAACACAAATAAACAGCCATACCCCTGGTGGGATTCGAACCCACGACCTCTCGGCTTGTAGTCAGCAGCACTAACCACTAGTCCAACGTTGACGATAAAGCAGTATATTCTATAACAAGTTTGGAATACGGCATATTCCGCTGGAGTGTAAAGTTTGTCACGAGCCGAACTTTGACGGTTTGACGAAAGCGGAATATGTAATTCCAAATTTGTTTTAGATTATATACTTTTTCTACGTTTACAAAATATACTATAGAAAAATAATTTAATTGGGAGAAAGTGAGATCCGATCGGCACCAGTGTTTATTCCGTCATCCGGTGATAGAATGAATTTATTCTGTAGCAATTTATGAAATATATGTAAGAATAAGAAGAGTCATATTTCAAAATATTACATATTCTTTTTTTCTTTTGATTGATTAAAACTTAGAATAAAAAATAAATAATATCATATGCCACCAACCCCTGTATTATTAATAAAAAATAACATTAATTAT